TACCATACAATTCACTTACTTATACAATTCAGTGTTTTTTAGTATATTCAGAGTTGTACAACCATTTCCACAAGTCAGTTCTAGAACATTTTTTGTTCCTTCAAAGGGAAACTGCCTAATACTCACCTCCTGATCTTCCCATGGCTCCCAGCCACCATCCGTCTTTGTCTCTAAGATTGGGCTATTGTAGGCATTTCATATAATGGACTCATAAAATATGCGTTCCTTGTGACTGATTCTTTAACTTTAGCGTGATGTTTTCAAGGTTTCCAGCTTTTTTTTTATATATATAGCAGAGACGGCAAAGTTTATTACTTTGTACATCATGGCTTTGCAACCGTTTCCTGGAGGTCCTTGAAAATCCTCTAGGACTTTGTTCTTTTCACACACACACAAACCCTGAAATCGGGACATTTGAGTAAACTGTATACTATCATGTCAATATGACAGTGTCTTGCTCTGGTGACCCATATTTTGAGCCATATTTTTACTTGTATACCCCATAAGTGTTTTTGAGAAACTGTTATACCCTCAATTTGTAAACTGATAGAATACTAGCTAAAATAGTTACATCGCATGTAGACTAATTGACAGAGACCTCATTGTCTAAGCAGTCAAAGCAGACTTTGTCAGAAAGTGTGCCTTTTGTATTGTCCTTGACAAGAGCTGTTGCTCTGAATCTTAATGCAAAGATAAGATACAGGGCCTTCCTGTGAGGTTCTCTTGTGGGAAAGCAGACGCTACCCCTTCAGCAAAGCTCTCTGCTTAGGCCTCCATGGGAAACCCTGGAGATATGCTTTTACAGCCCCAGGGGTTGAGGTTTTTTTCTTAACTTGGGACAATGTACCTTTGGAAAGACTGGGGGAGGGTATGAGGTCTGCATTTCTTTTAGTAAAGGTAGAGACCCAGGAGACTCCTTAGGCCTATGTGGGACAGATTGAGCCTGTTGCTGCCTTCCCTCTCAATTTTGTGACAGTTGTTCTCGCCACCCCCAAAAATGATACTCTCAAAACTAAAATTTTTAGCTATTTGGAATAATAGAAGATGACATGAAACCAGGACCCTTTTTTGTTCTTATTAACAGTTTATTCATGGAGGACACACTGCCAAGATCTCAGATTTTAGTTGGAACCCCAATGAGCCTTGGGTCATCTGCTCCGTGTCTGAGGATAACATCATGCAGATATGGCAAATGGTGAGCGGAAATGTTTTTTCACAACTGTCTCATAAAGGAGATTTGCTAGTGATATAAAAGATGCACATTCTACAAAACCAGTGTTGAAACATTGCAAAAGAATATTTTCCATATTAACACAATCTTTAGTTCGATACTGGTACTTTCTTGATCTGCAGTTTGTAGCACCTGTTGGGTTGGGAGAAATGTCTGTAATGTCTCTATATGAGCACGCTGGTTGCAGATGCAGCACCTGCTCTGATTGTTGTGCTCTTCATCCAAGGCTGGCTGGATACCTTTGTCTCCAGGGCCTGTGCTCTGTCATAGGTGTGGAGACAAAAGGGGAACATCAAGATGTTCAAGTCATGCTGAGTTCTTTGAGCACTTGACCAAGTCTTTCATAAATAACATGGCCATAGCTCCCTCTAAATGATGCTTGAAGGACTTTTGGAAAACACTTTTTTTTTGACAGGCAGGTTTAGACAGAGAAAGGTCTTCCTTTTTTCCGTTGGTTCACTCCCCAAATGGCCACTATGGCCGGCGCACTGCGCTGATCCGATGGCAGGAGCCAGGTGCTTCCTCCTGGTCTCCCATGGGGGTGCAGGGCCCAAGCACTTGGGCCATCCTCCACTGCTTTCCCGGGCCACAGCAGAGAGCTGGATGGGAAGAGGAGCAACCGGGACAGAATCTGGTGCCCCGACCGGGACTAGAACCTGGTGTGCTGGCGCCGCAGGTGGAGGATTAGCCAAGTGAGCCGCTGCGCCGGCCAAAAACACTTCAATGAACAGTGATCACAGGATGGCTAGGCATGTAAGTGGAATTACATATTGCAGACTACAAAATCTTTAAAATGTGTCCATGTTTAATTTCCAACACTGAAATACATTGATCAGTGAACTAAATTTTGTTGGTGATTTTGTAAAGACATTGTGGAAGAGTTTTACCTGTGACTTTATTTGGTTGTTATCTCCAGGCCGAAAATATTTACAATGACGAAGAGTCAGAAGTCACAACATCGGAACTGGAGGGACAAGGATCTTAAACCCAAAGTATGAGAAGTTTTCTGTTGAATGTAATGGTAACATGAAAGAATGCTTGATTATCAAGCACCAAAAAGGCATTGTATAGTAAGAATTGTTAAGTGGGATGGCTTATGGCGTTCTTCACCCTCTGATTCTAGCACTTTCAAGTGAGCTATTGCGTACTGTATCATATTGTAGCTGTTAGGGAAGAAAAGAATGTTGCGTAAGAAAGAACATCACCATTGTTTTAAGATCCTAAGTAGCAGGGTACTACTGCCTTGGGTTCAACTGTTTAAGTCCTCATTTTCTCAAACTAAGTGCTTGCTGTTCCCAAATATGCAACAATAACTTTTACACTTTTTCCTTCCAACACTTTCTTGATTGGCTTTGCAGAAATAAAGTTTTAAAATAAACTTTGTTTCATTCTTTTAAAAGGTCAGGGTGAGTGCTCACGCATTTTTGAGCAGAAAGGACAATGGGTACCTATGGACTTCCTACACAGTTGAGGTCACATGAACAACAAAAGAATACACAGAAACTGTCAAATTTATCATACATATTTACTTAATCTATACAGAATTGAGTAGATAAAATCAGATTCACATTAGTGAAAAATCTCTACAAAATGTTTTTGAAAAGCAAAACAAGACTGCCTCTTAACAATTCGTATCCTCATGAAAGACGTGGGCTGTAAAAATAAAGCAGTGTGTTTAGCACAAACTAGAAGATAATCTGCATCATTTTTTTCACAGTTATTTCCATCTACAGTCTGAAAGAGGTAGATTTTTCTGCAACACCTGAGAGTTGAATTGTGATAACCAGGTGTAATAAAGGCAGTTGCATACATAACTAAAAAACAATGGTCTTAAGACCAAGAAATGTACTCCTACAAGTCCGAGGATGAAGGAGGTGGTCTGTTAACCCAGACCCAAGTTTTTGCTACACCTTGGAGTCTACTGCCACTATTAAATAATACACATCAAGATCCCATGGTGGTGCAACAAATGCAATTTAAGTGAATTCAACATTTAAAACTTTTCTGGGCCAGCCTAGTAGCATTACAGTGTTCTAGAATATGGTAGATACAGGGCGTGCTACGAAGCCACAACATTGGGCCAGTGAGGTGATTGTTTTAGGAGGGTGTCCTTCCCAGAGAGTCCCTTTTTTATTCACAGGGTAATGGGAGGGGATTCTGAAAGGACACCAAATGCATCCCAGACAGAATCCATATCCTTTTAAACACCATGAAAGCATCTACCTAAAGATACGTAGCAAGCCAAAAGCAGCAGGCCAAGTACTGTTAGTCACATTGCTTTATAAAGCCCTTAAAAATATGCAACAGGTCCAAGATTTACAATCTTCCACATAGGACAAGCACCACAAAGAAACGTGGTGGGTTACACAAATGGCTTGATAAAATGTTAAGAGCTGTACATCCAGCAGAGTTCTTGTAAAGTGTGATTAGTACTAATTTTAAAGTAGATTATATTTCAGATATATACCTTCATTTCCCTTGAGGGAAGTGAGTCCAGTATTTCATTTAGTAGCAGAAGTGGGTTTGAGAGTATAAAGGTCAGTCTGTCAGAGGGCATTGCTTTCACCTCCAACTCGCTTTTGCCAGCGAAGATAACCTACTTTGTCTTCCACTGTGTGGCCCTTTGATTACTGATGGTGGGAACTTGGATTTCCTACCTGTTGAACAATTCTCCATTAATCCAACCCAGTTTAGACCATAACTGTGACAGGACTTTACAAAGTAAACTCAACAAGAGAAAACCCTTTTAACTGGACCAAAGAGTTTATTCAGTCCAGTAAGCAATTTAACAAGTATCAGTTTGATAGTTTTGCTCTGTGGAATGTGCTAACATCACCTGTAATAAAACCTTTTTTATTTCAAAGCATTTCGATGCAGATCACACCAGGGACAGTCTATAGTGTAGCCTGATTAATCATTTGCATAACATAACTGAGCCACCACTGAATGCTTAAAAAAAAAGGGAAGTTAAAGAACTAATTCAAAAATTATGTGCTTAATTTCAATTTCCCCCATTCCAAGTGTAGAGACCTTGGCTAATACTGTGGGGGGACAGCTTAGAACAGAGTGGTGAGAAACAATGAAGGCATAATAGTTCCTGACCACTTAACATTCTGTCAGGTTCTCCCAAACTTAAAACATGTTTGCTCCAGTGTTTTAAAAATGAAAGCAGTTTCATGTAGCTATAGTACTGATCCAAAATTAAAAATTCCCTTTTTAAAATACTTTTGAGTACTTGCTGGTGGGATCCTTTTAACAACTGAAACCAACTTTCAAGTAGCCAGAAGGCAGAAGAACTTCTGCCTAATGAAAGCTACAGGTACTATGCCCTCATCACTTTTAACAAGAGACTGAGTGACCGCACACATCAATAGCAGCTTTCACAGAATAACCAGCTTTCTGTGGGAAGTGGAGAATATGCACCCAAATGGGAACGAAGCAAACTACCATCCACAAACAGAATCAGGTGGTACAAATTCCACACATGGATTCTGACTTCAAAACCAAAGCAGTAGGACTATTTTTAGTCACATACACAGCCAGCCTGTTTGTCCAGTGCTTTGCCTGTACATGCTACTTTGTTCACAAGTGACATCTCTGTATACATATCCTGCCAAAAGAGGCTTACAGCCATCTCAATTCTTCAAGTGATGTAAATATTACCAAAAAGCTAAACATAAGCAAATATGCTATGCTTGGTTTTGAACCAGTACAAGTTTTATTTTTACTTGGCATTCAGATGGCTATTAGGCAAAACTAATCCTGATAGTTTCCTTTTTTTTTTTTTTTGAATAATATTAATGGGGGCTGAGGCTAATATTTTCACATAAAATGTGAAATAGTTGGCCCTGTCTTGAGTGAAACTCACTGGGGTAATCGTGTATGCGGAGCAGGAAGAGAAAGGACGAGGCAATGAGCACATGCATTCCATTGAAGGGGGACATGAGGTGGATGTGCAACACAGCTGAGGGAAGTGAAGAGATTAAATCTATCAGATCTGCTAAGCAGCCTCCTGTACCACTTAAGTCCAGTAGTTCTAAGAAAATACAGATATGGTAGAAAAAGTAAGAAAATTTTCACCACAAAACCAATAGTTACTACTCACAGAGAAAGTTATACACAAAATAGACCTCTCAATACAGTGATCACACGTCCTCCTAGTCAACTGACTCAACCCCTGGGGCCGAGACGCAGGAAGGGGGCTTCTGGGCAGCACTCGGCTCACACGCTGCCTCGGGCGCAGCCTCCAGCGGTACCCCCAGGGCTCTGTTGCAGGAAGTATACAGCTCCCTGGGAGAATCCGGGCCGGGGCCGCTGGAGGGCTGCATCACAGGCATGGCCAGCTCCCCGTCTGGAACTTTGACAGAGACCTGCTCTTTGAGGACTTCCACCTTCTCGTTGAGCTCATTTCTTTCCGTCTGAAGAGCCCTGCACAACTTCTCTAATCGTTCCAGTTTTATTTGAAAGGCCTTGTATTCTTTATCACGGACAGTTTTCTGTTGGGGGAGGCGGAGGGGGAAGGATGAGATTTACAAAGCCTTATGAAATACATATCAGGTTTTTGTACATAAGAAAAGTTAAATTGGGCCAGCACTATGGCTTAGCAGGTAAAGCCACAGCACTGGTATCCCATACGGGCACCAGTTCGAGTCCTGGCTGCTCCACATCCTGATACCTATTGAATGTTCAATTTTTTGTGACGCCTAGCATTATAGTTGGCTTCATTGCATACATACGCATGCTGAAAGACTGTTCAGGATAACAAAATTGAATTTTAGTCATGTTTCTTAAAATTCAGGGCCAGTATCATGGCATAGCAGGTTAAGCTGCCACTTGGGATGCTGGTATTCCATACTGGCATGCTGGTTTAAGTCCCAGCAACTCCACTTCTGATCCAGCTCCCTGCTAATGGCCTGGGAAAGCAGCAGAAGAGGGCTCAAGTGCTAGGGCCCCTGAACCCATGTGGAAGACCTAGATGAAGCTCCTTGCTTTGGCCTGGCCCAGCCCCAGCCTTTGTGGCCATCTGAAGAAAGCCAGCAGATGGGAGATTTCTAACTTCACTTGCACCTAAACTTAACCCAACCGCCAGGAAAGGTATCACAGACCCTTCTCAGCTGCTCTCCCCACCCTGACCCCACTCGAGTCTTCTCATCACAGTGTCCTCTACCCTGATTCTCCAACTTCCTGAGGCCCCATGACTAAGAATACATCTTAGGAAGCTAACTCACCTCTTCAGCCATTTGCAGAAGTGCTTTGTTGTTATTTTCCCACTTGGTACGCCATATTATTGTTTCTTTTTCCAGTTTTTTAATTTTCTTTGTCATCTGTGAATCAACACAATTACATTTATTTCTCCCCACTGTTCCTCGACAGAAGTTTTGATGTCCCTTCCCCAACCCCACCTCCATCTAGACCAGCTGGTAGTACGGCTGCTCTCTGAAGCTCCTAGGGTGGAACCAAAGCAGAGGTTTCCCCTGAGAGGAATGGAATCTTAATTTCAGAGGCAGCAGCACATGGAGGGAGCCGTCAGCCACGTCACTCTGAAATCCTAAGGCAAGGCTGCAGTGCAGCAGTGTTACCACCAGGGGCGCAGGGGAAAAGCTTCTCCCCATACTGTATGGAAAAGCTATATGAAGCTCACCCTTCAAATTCTTGCAAGGACAGATTTTTTCAGCCTGCCCGAGGACTATGAGTTGGTGCTCCTCCCTGCCCTCTAATAAGACCACAGGGGTTTTGAAACTCCACTGAAGATAAAAACAGTCCTAATACTTTGGTCATTCTCACAAATCACAAGGCTGTTTTACTTCAGATTTTGCTAAAGTGGGTCCAAAAATTGGGCGCATTCATAAATCTGTGCTACAGGAACTCAATTTTTTTTTTTAGAAATTCTCGTATTGGCCGGCGCCGCGGCTCACTAGGCTAATCCTCCGCCTAGCGGCGCTGGCACACCGGGTTCTAGTCCCGGTTGGAGCACCGGATTCTGTCCCGGTTGTCCCTCTTCCAGGCCAGCTCTCTGCTGTGGTCAGGGAGTGCAGTGGAGGATGGCCCAAGTGCTTGGGCCCTGCACCCACATGGGAGACCAGGAGAAGCACCTGGCTCCTGCCTTTGGATCAGTGCAGTGCGCCAGCCGCGGTGGCCATTGGAGGGTGAACCAACGGCAAAGGAAGACCTTTCTCTCTCTCTCTCACTGTCCACTCTGCCTGTCAAAAAAAAAAAAAAGGTCTAAAAAAAAAAGAAATTCTCGTATTGAGACTCATGTGTGGCCATCAATCAGGCATATTCTCAATATTCCTTTACCCACTGCCGACTGTCCACCAGCTCTGATCCAAGTCAGGGCACTGAGCCAGGTGCTGTTCAGGGAAACGGTAAAACAGGGCCATGCCCTGTGCCTTAGGTAATCACCCACAAAACTAAGACAGGCAATATGGGACAAAGGGCCGTGGGAAGAGCTTGTGAAATATCTGAATTGCATGTTGAGCCTTGACAATCTCTTTAGCCACTACACTGAGGAGGAACGTGTTCCAGTCCCAGAAGATTCTCCAGAGAGCAGACTAGGGAGTTGGCCTTGAATTCTCTCCCACTCCAAAGCACACGTGCTAATGACCCTTTGGCTGTGCCTACTGTTACCCCTCAGTTGGAATTTCCACTGAAAGAACTAATCTGCTGCCTATGGAATTCTCCAGACTACTAGGTCTAAAAATACCCCAAGGTAGTAACTTGAGCACCATTCAGCACATGGTAATTGAGCAAAGTGAATATGCCAAGCAATGTCTGAATTACTGTTTCATGAAGGGCAAATCTTGTTAACAGGTTGTCTCTGGTCACACCCTGTAACAACTGGGACATTAACCCAGAGAGCACACGACTAGGTAAGAGCTAATACTAGTGACTAACACCTACTGAATGCTCACAGAGTGCCAGGCACTATTAGACTTGTCTCCAAGCCAATACCATTTTTTAAAAAACCTGCTTTAAGGGGAAGACAGGAAGTAAATACTGAATATATATGGATATAATTACATATTTCAGTTCTTAGTTTGATATCCAGGATGTCTCTTCCCTTAATTTAGGCAGGAAAATGAAGTAGAACCCAAAGAATTGGTTTGGTTGAGGGAGAAAGAATTCAGCAGGAGTAAAGTTCAGAAAAAAAAAAAAAAAAAAAAACTTAAAAAGGGCAGAAACACCAATATCCATCTACCCAGAGATCTCAACCCACCAAAATATATAATTACTCTTCTGGGTTTAGGTGTCTAAATAATTCAATCTCCAAGGACATTGAATTTTGTGAAAGAACCAGAGTTAAACAACAAACAAAACTCACGACTTTATTTGTAACAAATGGTTAACAAAGGAGTTCACTGTGACAATTCTGAAGGCATAGAGACCACTAGCTACTTGGGAGTACATGGAGGGCAAAATGGCGGAATGCTGTTACTGGAAAGTCAAAAAAAACTCAAGATAGTACTCCAACAACAGAATCTCTTCCATGCAGCTAGTAATCACGCTCAAAACAGCCCATATGATAAATTTCCTTTTATGTAAAAAACTCCTAAAATATGCAAATACCTTTTCCATTTCTTGTCTGAAGGTTGTAAACAGTTCATTGCTTTTTGCCATAGTAGTCTGGAATTCTTCAAACTTATCCATATAAAGAGAAAGCTACAGAAAAAAGTATGAAATGTTCTGAGATCCAGGTAAATAATCCAAATTCCCAAACATTCAAATGAATATAATGTTAAACAAGAGAAATATAAACAGCCACACCAATCCTTCTATATTAGACATAGTGGAAATTCTAAGAACCCAAAGAAATGCCTTAGAACTTAGATAAGCTCCATCCCACCAACTATAAGAAAGCCTAAGGAATGCGGTATCTCTGTTGGCTCCATACATGTGTAATGATTCATAAACTACCCCGCTCCTTTCATTTATCTGACAACTGTCCTTGGGAAAAGATCATGCATTTAGAATACCACCAGCATAGTTCTTAGCTTGACATTAAGGATGTCTCTTGGCTTAACACAGGCAGAAAAATGCAGCAGAAGGTAAAGAATTGGTTTGGCTGGGGAGAAAGAATTCAGTGGGAGTAAAGAGAAAAAAAAGCTAAGAGGTGGGAGCTGTAAGACAGCAGGTTAAGCCACGGCTTGGGATGTCCACATCTCAGTCTCAGCTACTCTGCTTCCCATGGAGCTTCCTGCTAAGGTGCCTGGGAAGGAACCGAACACAGCCTTAGCATTTGGACGCTTACCCATCATCTTCGTAGACATGGATGGAGTTCCTGGCTCCTGGCATTGACCTGGCCCAGCCCTGGTTACTGTAGGCACTTGGAGAGTGGATGAAAAATCTTTCTGGGGCTGGCACTGTGGCACAGCAGGTAAAGCCGCCACCTGCAGAGCCAGCATCCCATATGGGCACAGGTTCAGGTCCTGGCTGCTCAACTTCCAATCCAGCTCCCTGCTAATGTGCTGGGGAACCAGCAGAAGATGGCCCAAGTCCTTGGGCCCCTGCACCTGCGTGGGAGACCAGGAAGAAGCTCCTGACTCCAGATTGGCACAGCTCCAGCTGTTGTGGCCATCTGGGGAGTGAATCAGTGGATGGAAGACCTCTCTGTCTCTACTTCTCTCTGTAACTCTTTCAAATAAATAAAATAAATCTTTAATAAAAAAATGTTTAGGGTGGGTATGTGGTTGAGATGGCCATAACCTATGTCTGATTGCTTGGGTTGCACTCCCTGGCTCCATTCCTGAATCTAGCTTCCTGCTAATGAGCACCCGGGGAGGCAGCAGGTGATAGCTCAAGTACTTGGATCTCTGCCGCCCACCAGAAGACCCACCTTGAGTTCCTAGCTTCTGGCTTCAGCGTGGCCAAGCCCTGGCCATTGTTGGCATTTGGGGGAGTAATTTAGTGGATGGGAGCTCTTTTTCTCTTGCCCTGCCTCTCAAATAAATTTAGAAAATACATTTAAGAATATTATTTGGTGGTGCAGTAGGTTAAGCTTATAGCACCAGCATCCCATATGGGCATCAGTTCAAGTCCTAGCTGCTCATTTCTAATCCAGCTCCCTGCCAGTGTACCTGGAAAGCAGTGCAAAATGACCCAAGTGGTTGGGCACCTGCCACTCACTTGGTAGACTCCGATGAAGCTCCTGGCTTGAGGAGCCTGCAAATCAGCAAATGGAAAATCTTTCTCCCTCTGTCACTCCGCTTTTCAAATAAATAAATAAATCTTAATTATATATGTTTAAGATATATTTATTTGAAATTATAAATTTATTTGCAAGTTACAGTGACAGAGAGGAAGAGACAGATAGGTCTTCCATCTGCTAGTTCACTCTCCAGACGGCTGCAACAGCTAGGACTGGGCCAGGCAGGAGTCAGGAGCTTCATCTGAGTCTCTCACTTGGGTGGCAGGGCCCCACGCACTTGGGTCATCTTTCACTGCTTTCCTAGGTGTACTGGAAGGGAGCTCAATCAGAAGTAGAGCAGTCAACACTTGAACTGGTGTCCATATGGGATGCCAGTGCTGCAGATGGTGGCTTAACCCACTGCACCACAGCAATAACCCACAAAAAACTAAACAAAAAATAAAAAATTATCTTGGTGCAAAATAATTTTGAAATCCACCCATAGTTTATTCATAACACATTTTCCATGAACTTTCTGAACCCCTACACTACCAGTAGAAGTGGCATACACCGACAGTTCCAGAGGCTATTGGCCTGGGGTCAGAGACAATGGTGGCACTCAGAGCAAAAGAGCACTTCTAGCACATGAAGATGAGAAATATGACGGTTTCAGCACGGCCTGTTTACAGAAGATGGACCATCCAGGTAAAATCTGAGAGTCCCAGGCTGGCCCAGAGCAGACAGCAATAAGCAGGTAAGTACCATTACACCTGGAGCTAGGAGGGTAGATTGAAAACAGTGGGCCAAGACACAGCAGCCAGCAGCGAATGCTGGGACGTGAGATGCTAAGAGCACAGAATGAGACAGACTCTTGGGAAGGAGAGCCACATTTAGGGAGCAGAAAAAGAACTAAATGACCAGATACGGTAAGAGGACTAGGGTGGAACAAATGATAAGCAGAAGCCACACTGGTGGCACAAGAGAATCGGAGTTTGCCTCTGGCTTTGGTAGAAGGCCCTTTGGTGAATTCTGCAGCATCAGAAGTGAGTCCCACATCCAAAAATATGTTCTGAAGCCATCTATGGACAACTGATTATACAGTGCTGATAAGGGGTTCAGGGCTCCTAGTGTATCAAGGATTTCTGGTATCTCATGCCTCTTGATTTTTCACCATTAGGCAAGCTTTATAGGCAGTTAATAGCACTACATCGTGAACCATTCCTAAAGAGAAAAGAGGACAGATGCGGCACCAATGAATATTCATCCCAGTCTTAATGTACTGGTATACTCTAGAACTAATTGTACCTTTACAAATAAACTTATATAATAAACTTCTAAAATAACAATGTAATCTAGTTAACTGGAAAAGGATGATTATGGGTATAAACACCCAATTTCACCTCTCAAGAAAGACATGGAAAATGTTTCCTATACTTTTTCTTTGAGTACGGAGACAGCACCTGCTATTCTCATTCCCGATGAGGCAACCATATAGATTGTAACTGAACACCGATGGGGTCTGGATTGAAAAGGAGGGTAGGGCCCCACAGAAAAACAAACAAATGAACAAAAAAACAACTCTACCTGGGAGAACTTTGTGGTCACATGCAGTTTCAAAAACAGGTTATGTGCTCAAAGCATACAATTCTACAGTGAACAGACACCAGATTAAACTCTATGAAAAAATGTTATTTTGTATTTCAAAAAAGTTTGCCTTAACTTCTTCAGCAATTTTATATAGTTCAATTTGATACAAAACAACTAAAGTCTAGATGTCTCCAGTTTTCCTTTATTGGGAAACCAGGTGACATGTGTAGGAGCAGACTGAGAAAAGGAGGAAGTATCTGGGATCTTGGAAGGAGGACACTGAAGACCGGGTGACCAACCATCCAAGAGTGCTACTGACCTTTCCTTGTGTTTCATCAGCTCTGCTTGGGAACACAAAAACCCATCTGAGAGGAGATCCAAAGTGTATGTATCAAATAAACCACAGATTTTTCTTGTAAACTCTATCCCCTGCTGTGAAGTTACCTGCTGTTTCAGTTGTACTTCTTGCTGTTTCATTTGTTCATATTTGTGCCTTGACTCTGTTGCTTCTTTTAATAACTAGAAAACAGAAACATTCTGTTACAAACACGACTACAATGTCCAATGACCATAGTTAGGCTTCATCCTTCTACTTCAGCAAGAACCACAGGTCTCCAGATGGAAGATTCCATTCCATCGATTGCCATTTACCTATTTCTTCGAACTACTGTACTAGTTAATACTTAGGAATATAGGAATAATCTATTACTGCTTAAGCTGAAAAAGTACCCTGGAGGCCTAAAAGTATTTACAAAACTCAAGGTTAAATTATTGTGTTTTAAATGAAAATAGATGTCTAGTATCAGCAGATTAACATGGCTCAGAATCTTGACATTATTCAGATGGAAGACTCTATTCCCCAAAAAGGAAGATAATGGAGTGTATCTAAAACCTGATTTTTTTTTTGACAGGCAGAGTGGACAGAGAGAGAGAGAGAGAGAGAGACAGAGAGAAAGGTCTTCCTTTGCCGTTGGTTCACCCTCCAATGGCCGCCACAGTCGGCGTACTGCGCTGATCCGATGGCGGGAGCCAGGTACTTCTCCTGGTCTCCCATGTGGGTGCAGGGCCCAAGGACTTGGGCCATCCTCCACTGCACTCCCGGGCCACAGCAGAGAGCTGGCCTGGAAGAGGGGCAACCAGGACAAAATCCAGCACCCCGACCAGGACTAGAACCCGGTGTGCCGGTGCCGCAGGCGGAGGATTAGCCTAGTGAGCCCCGGCGCCGGCCTAAAACCTGATTTGAGAGTGTATTTTAAAACACGGGGGGTGGGGTGGGGTGGGGGGGTGGTATTGTGATACAGTGCACTGGTGCCACTTAGAATCCTGGCTGCTCCACTTCCGATACAGTTTCCTGCTAATGGGCCTGGGAAACCAGTAGAAGAAGGCCCGAGTTTTGGCCCCCTGCACCCATATAGGAAACCCAGATAAAGCTCCAGGCTCCTGGCTCCTGGCTTTAGCCTGGCCCAGCCTTAGATACTGCAACCATTTGGGGTGTGAACCAGCAGATCCAGCGGTTGGAAGATCTGTCTGTCTCTCCCCTTCTCTAACTCTGCCTTTCAAGTAAACAAAATAAAAATATTTAAAGTGGCACTACGGCATAGTGGGTCAAGCATCTGCCTGTGGCGTCTGCATCCCATATGGGTGCTGGTTTGAGTTCTGGCTGTTCCACTTCCCGTCCATTTCCCTGCTGATGGCCTGGGAAGGCAGTGGAAAATGGCCCAAGTGCTTGGGCCCCTGCACTTGCATGGGAGACCTGGAAGAAGCTCCTGGCTCGCAGCTTCAGATCGGCCCAGCTCCAGCCGTTGTGGCCACTTAGGGAGTGAACCAGCAGATGGAAGACCACTCTCTGTAACTTTGCCTCTTAAATAAATAATAAATAAACTTAAAAAAAAAAAGCCAGGGGAGATGGGGTAGGAGCTTTTAATTTATACACTCGGCATTTCAAGAAAATTATATGGTGAAGCTGCATAGTAGGCAGTTATGAAATTCAGTCCCTGAAGTAAACTGTCACACATAGTCCAAAAAAGCCTTGCAAAGTCCTGTTGAGCAACGAGAAACATACACACAGGCAACTTTTGGAATGAGAAGCATTCTCAGGTAAACGCTGCACACCAGTGCCTGGCTATGTGAAAACTGTGTCTAGCCCTCCCGTCAGTGGGTCAAGCTCTCAGCACCAGGACCACTCAGGAACTGGGCCTGGGCTACTTGAGGGAATAGAGAATGGAGCAGTCCACATTATTGTAACCATTCTCACTTTTATTCTTTGGCTAAGAACATATAGTTGAATTTGCATATGTTCAATAAACATACCCAATGGGATTTTACTGTATTCAGTTACTGACAGGCAATACAACCTGAGCATACTCAGGGAACAAGGGTGGGTGGTTAGTTCCAAGTCACTTGTTTAAAAAATGTAGGGGCTGGTGCTGTGGTATAGCGGGTAAAGCTGCCGCCTGCAGTGCCGGCATCCCATATGGGCACCGGTTCAAGTCCCAGCTGCTCCACTTCAGATCCAGTTCTCTGCTATGGCCTGGGAAAGCAGTGAAGATGGCCCAAGTCCTTGGGCTCCTGAATTTGCGTGGGAGACCTGGAAGACGCTCCTGGCTTTGGATCAGCACAGCTTCAGCTGTTGCAGCCAACTGGGGATTGAATCAGCGGATGGAAGACATGTCTCTCTCTCTCTCTCTGCCTCTCCTCCTCTCTCTCTGGTTAACTTCAACTTTCAAATAAATAAAAACGAAACAAAATGTAACCGTATATAGGAGACCTCTGTTTGGTAAGCTTGATGTTAAACTGGATTGCTAAAGTTGAATGTTAAATCCTTACACAGTTCTTGAACCTGACAGCCATTACCCAAGAAGAGAAGTATTATAAGCACAGATCAAACAAGTGCATGAGTTTCTGCAAATTTGCTCTAATCTTTCCAATTCTATATAAAGAGTTAAATAAACAGACAAGTGCTTTCTAACACCAGCACCAGCACCACCCACCCCCACAAAACCAACTAGTGAGCCACAGGTGCTATATTAAATGTAGAATAAGTTTAAATGTTTTAAAAGGCTTTGGTTACAATTTTGGTAATAATTAAAAAAAAGAAATAGAACTTACAAACTCTCTCTCTCTCTGATGCTTTTCATCAGCTTCTTTTATCAGCTGTGTCGTCTGCTGCAGTTTGGCATCCACTAGCTGCTGCTGCAATTCCTTGTGTTTGAACACTTTATCAATATGCTATGGGAAAAGCAAAATTCCTTCTATCACTTAGTGAAGAAACAAACACAATGGGGAGGAAATAGCACCAGCCATGACACCCTGCTTACCCAGTTTTTCTACTACTACAACTAGGACCAAGAAAACTGGGTTTTTCTATCCCTGTGCTTGCATAAGTGGCTAATCCACAACACCTGGCAAACTGCCACACATCTGCAGGAGCACTGCCCTGTCAGAGGTGGGCTGTCCCCATCACCAGCTTTGTGCTTCTTGTTTCTATCCTACACTGAAAACAATGCTCAAACTACATCTAGACAAAGATGGATAAGGAGAGCCAACTATTAAACTCATATAACACACATGTAATTCCATCTTTATTCTCTCCATTAAACTGCCCCGAATTTCTCAGCTGGCAATAGTATGAGATAGCTGGAATGGCCAAGGTCAAACCTTGGCCAGTGCATGGTCCTGAGCCAATTCCTCCCTGAGCCAAATGTCAGTGCCCTCATCTGTACCAGAGGATGACCACACCTACCTTGCAGGGCTGTAATATAAATTCAGTGGTTAAACTATAACAATAAAGCACTTGGTGCATGGTACATACTAAGCAGTTAGTAAAAGTCTGATTATTTCCAAACAAAACTATTAATTGGTAATTTATGCTCAATAAATTCATCAGAACGTTATTTTCCAGCTGTAGAAGTAGAACTGTTCTAGATATAAAACCCTGTGTGAGAGGGAGAAAATGCTGGTTGGTAAGAAAGTAGTCTAAGTATGGAGAGAACACAGAAAATGACTTGTGTTCACTTGAAAATAATATGATCATTAAGTATATCCTGACCAAAGAAAGAATATTCTGCAATGGTACTTCCAAAAGTTTGCAGAAAACAAAATAAGCAGATGAGCTTATTTTAGTGCAAAAAATTTTGAAATCCAGTTTTTCATAATATGCATTTTCATAAACTTGCTGAAGATTCTTATATGCATGGACTTCAAAAAATTTTTTAGAAAGGATTTACTTATTTATTTGAAAGGCAGAGTTAACAGAGAGAGGGAGAGAGAAATCTTCCATTTCTAGTTCACTCCCCCATATGGATGCAATGCCCAGGGCTGGGCCAGGCAGAAATGAGGAGCTATGAGTTCCATCTAGGTCTCCCACATGGGTGGCAGGAGCCCAAGCACTTAGGACATCCTCTGCTGCTTTCCCAAGTGCATTAATAGGGAGTTGGACTGGAAGTGGAACAGCCAAGATTCAAAATGGTGCCCATATGGGATGCCAGCATCACAGGTGGTGGTTTACCCCACTGTGCCACAATGCCAGCCCTCGATTTTAAATTTCTTTGCACCAAAATTGACATACTTTAATTCTATATTCCATGAAATTTTTATGTACTCTTGTATAGAAAGTAAGACTCACAATATGATTTAAACATATAATTTTCAAATCTGCTATATCTATAATAAAGCAATTAAACAAAACTAAATCATTTTAAGATTGAATAAATTCTAAAGCTCTAGAAGAAAGAAATTTCTTTAAAAATATACTACAAGAATAAAAAATCAAAGGACGGGCCAGCTCTGTGGCCCATTAGGTTAATCCTCCACCTGTGGCGCTGGCATCCCATATGGACGCCAGCTCTAGTCCCGGCTGCCCCTCTCCCAATCCAGCTCTCTCCTATACCTGCGAAAGCAGTGGAAGATGGCCCAAGTCCTTGGGCCCCTGCACCCACATGCAAGACCTGGAAGAAGCACCTGGCTCCTGGCTTCGGATCGACACAGCTCTGGCCGTTGCGGGCATTTGGGGAGTGATCCAATGGAAGGAAGACCTTTCTCTCTGTCTCTACCTCTCACTGTAACTCTTTCAAATAAATAAAATAAACCTTTTTAAAAAATGAGAGGAAAACTTTATTATTTTTAGAGACTTGAGACAAACTAGTAAAATAGATGGCTTTTATTTGGATCTTGATTCAAATAATTTTTTAACAAAGGGAGACAATAATGAAAATGTAAACAATGGTTAGATATTATTTTTTTCTTTGGGTGTGTGTATGTGTGTGTGTGTTTCTCCAGAAACCTTTTAAGTTATACAAACTTCATGCATTTCATAAATACAACTTGGGAACACAGTGATTCTTCCCACCGTACCCACCCTCCCATCCTTTTTCCTCCTTTTCCTATTCCCATTATTATTTCTTACTAAAATATATTTTCAATTAACTTTATACACAAAAGATCAACTCTATACTAAGAGTTCAACAAATAGTATGAAAAAAACTTGTTCCTATTCAATAGTTTTTTTATTTCTTTTGATTTCTTCTATGACCCACTGTTCATTCACCATCATGTTGTTCAGTTTCCATGTGTTTGTATATGGAACTTTCTCTAGAATAGACCATAGGGTACGCCATAAAAGCAAATTTCAGAAAATTCACAAAATAATAAAAATCATACATGAATCACCTCTGACCACAATGGAATGAAACTAGAAATCAACAACTCAACAATCTCTAGAACATATGCAAACACATAGATATTTACTATTAAATAACCATTAATGTTTTAGGTATGAAAATGGTACTGTGGTCATGCTAAACAGAACCCCTATCTTTTTGAGCCACACATCCAAATATCCATCAATGGAGTAATATGATTCCTTGGCTTCACGTAACAATAATCCAGGGGAATAGAGATAAAGCTGTGGTTTCACCTGCTGAAGCCGGGTAATATAGTCTCTTTTTTAAGTGTGCAATTTTCCATAGTAAGCTAAAAAAATAAAATTTGAGTTGAAAACTAGATAAAGTAACACACAGAAGTGTCATCGTTTAAATTTTAATCAGCTATTTTCATCTCTGTATGTAAAGGATACAACATTTTACTAACTTTAAAGGCAGGAGTTGCAACATTTTAAAATGCCTAAAGTTTCTAACCCTGCCCATCTGACCTCTAAAAGTGAAGAACTGTAAAAAACAGGTTAGGACCTATTTGCTTTTTTTTTTTTTTTAAAGATTTATTATTTTATTTGGGCCGGCGCCGTGGCTCACTAGGCTAATCCTCTGCATGCGATGCCAGCACACCGGGTTCTAGTCCCGGTCGGGGCGCCGGATTCTGTCCCGGTTGCCCCTCTTCCAGGCCAGCTCTCTGCTGTGGCCCGGGAGTGCAGTGGAGGATGGCCCAAGTGCTTGGGCCCTGCACCCCATGGGAGACCAGGAGAAGCACCTGGCTCCTGCCTTCGGATCAGCGCGGTGCACCAGCTGCGGCGGCCATTGGAGGGTGAACCAACGGCAAAGGAAGACCTTTCTCTCTCTCTCACTGTCCACTCTGCCTGTCAAAAAAAAAATTTCTTATTTTATTTGAAAGTCAGAGATACACAGAGAAATAGAGGCAGAGAGAAAGAGAGGTCCTCCATCCGCTGGTTGATGACTTGGGCCATCTTCCATTGCTTTCGCAGGCCATAGCAGAGAGCTGGTTCAGAAGTGGAGCAGCCAGGACTCGTACCAGTCCCATAAGGGATGCCAGCATTGAAGGCGGTGCCTTTACCCACTACACCACAGCGCCACCCCTCCCCCATTTGCTTTTTATTTGGACATCAGCTCAGATTTTCCAGATTAGCTTGTAAAGTAATGTGCAGGGTAAATATGGTGGTAAAATCCCATGTGGGCACCAGTTCAAGTCCCAGCTGCTCCAGTTCCGATCCAGCTCTCTGCTATATGGCCTGGAAAAGAAGTAGAAGGTGGCCCAAATCCTTGGTCCCCTGTACCCACATGGGAGACACAGAAGCTCCTGGCTACTGGCTTTGGACCAGCACAGCTCTGACCATTGTAGCCAACTAGGGAGTGAACCAGCAGATGGAAGACCCCTCCCCCCCCCCCACCTTTCCTCCTTTCTCTGTTTAAGTCTGACTTTCAAATAAATAAATAAATCTTTAAAAAAATGTGTAGAAGTCTTAATGGAGAGCAATGGGCAAGATCAACAGCCATGGATCCCTTCAGTATACTTTTTACTTCAATGCTGTTACGTGTGATGTGAGAAGCAGGTTCTTTTTTCCTCTCAAACAGTATAAAATGCCCATTTTAAAAAAAACTAAATCTGAAAAAAAGTGTGATTACCACAGATGTCTGAGATATGGGGTATTCTGGGGGCAAATATTTATTCATTAGTCTGGGTAAGGAAAAATAATCTGTACGCTAAAAGCACAATCTTTCACACGGAAGATAAGTAGTATTTAACATGACTGCTAAAAATTACCTTACCTCTCCAAATCCAGCAATTCCTGGCCCTTCAAATGAGGACCCCAATTAATGTTTCTGATTGTGATGCTTGATTCTTTCATAATCAACTAGTGATCTCTAGTACGCCAATACAAAGTTATAAAACAGGTGGTTTTTCTGCCAAGGGCCACTTGGGTATTTATAGCCCAAACAAAATTATCACATTAAAAATGAGCCTGCAATAGATTTATTGAATTACAAGTCCTGCCTGTAGTTGTCTCGGCATGGCCAGACCAAATTACTTCACAGGCCTTATACAGCCCACAAGCTGGGCATTCTCTACTCCCATTTTAAACATCCTGTGACAGCAGTTTTGCTTTAATAGTGAATGGTGACGTTTCTGCTAATGCAAACCAAACACTGTTACCTCTTCCCTCAGTGCATACTGTTCAATGAGCTTCTTCAGCTTCTCTCCCAGTTCAATATTCTCCTGTCGGAGTTTGGCGTTGTGTATGTCATGTTGTTCCAGCTGGGCTTGGATTTCATTTAAAGTCATCTGGAAATGTGCAGTTGCTTCTTTACGCCGTTCCTCTTCCTCTCGTGCCTGCTGCACATTTTCCTCCTTATTATCCAAAATAATTTGTTAATTATATAGGCCCACAGAGAAAATGTTCACGAAAAAAGCTGCTGCAATTGGTATTCATTTCCTATAGGCCCAAGTGCTGCTTTTGAACTTCAGTTTCTCCCCCTAACTTATGACTGGAAGGTTCTCATTTACAGCAAAGAACCTTTGCCTAAGTAGAATATTGGAGAGATATAAACTTTCCTGCTATAAAGTAAGTGTTGCAGGGCTGTGGAAAATTCGCTGTACTGAAATACAAGGAAGGGGCTTCTCCAGGCAGCCAGTCCCCTCCTTGCTAGCTTGATACCTGAATTACACTTTCCATGCTCTAGAGGAAGGAACAAATGGAATCTTCATTGCAGAAAACTTACTTTCAACTCTTGCTAGGATACAAGTGTCAAAAGCCCTTTACATGACTGAACAGTTACCACTTGATTAAAATGTTGATTTGTTCTGGGAAAAAAAATGCTACCAACTTTAAGATCTAAATCCTAGGGTTCAAGAACAAAGAAATTAACAGCTGCAATGTGAGGTAAAGATTCCACGGCCTTGAAGGTTTGTTGGGGTGGAGGTTGGCATTTCATTGGAGATCCTGCTCCAAGTCAATTTCAACTAAACACATGGGCAGGTCTATCCCACTATAAGAGGCACATTCTTGCCTGTGGCACTGCTCTTTCTCCCTTTTCCTCTATTCATACCAATTTATTTTTGCGTACCTGCTCTGCTTTCCTTTAAAATAAGCCAAGGTACAAATGCAATTTTCAAAGTACCTAGCAGGGTAGGCATATGCTAGAGTTGTTAAGTCATTGCTTGGGACTTCTGCATCTCACACATGGATGCCTGGTTCCAGTCCCATCTCCATTTTCGATACTGCTTTCTGCTAATGTGCAACCTGAGAGGCAGTGAATGATGCTTCAAGTACCTGGATCCCTGCCACCCATGTGGGAGACCTGGATGAAATTTTGGGCTCCTGGCTCTGGCCTGGCCCAGCCCTGGCTACTCCAAGTACTTAGAGGTGCAGCAATATTAACCAGTAGATGGAAAATCTCTTTCAAATAAATAAAATAAATTTTTAAAAATTTTTAAAGATTTTATTTATTTATTTGACAGGTGGAGTTATAGACAGAGAACGGCCTTCCATCCGATAGTTCACTCCCCAAATGGTGTCAACGGCCAGAGCTACACCAATCTGAAGCCAAGAGCCAGGAGCCTTTTCTAGGTCTCCCACATGGGTGCAGGGGCCCAAGGACCTGCGCCATCCTCTACTGCTTTCCCAGGCCATAGCAGAGAGCTGGATCAGAAGAGGAGCAGCCGGAACTAGAACTGGTGCCCATATGGGATGCTGGCGCCCCAGGCCAGGGCTTTAACCCACTGCACCACAGTAGCAGTCCCCATAAATTTAAAATTAAAAATAAATGAAAGGGGCCAGCACTGTGGCATAGCGAGTAAAGCTGCTGCCTGCAGCGCTGGCATCCCATATGGATGCCGACTGGAGTCCCGGCTGTTCCACTTCTGATCCAGCTCTCTGCTATGGCCTGGGGAAGCAGAAGTTCCTGGCTCCTGGCTTAGGATCAGTGCAGCTCCAGCCGTTGTGGCCAACTGGGGAGTTAACCAGTGGATGGAAGACCTCTCTCTCTCTGCCTCTCCTCTCTGTGTGTAACTCTGACTTTCAAATAAATAAACAAATATTTAATAAATGAATAAATGAATAAAAATACCTAGGAACCCAACAGCTGGAGGTTGGCCAGGGTACATGGGCAATGGCAGCTATGATATCCACATAAGATTCATCAGGAGTAGTTCCTTCTAAGACTCACTCTGATTCAGTCTATTACTAGTTTCTCATTTCTGAGCAGCTTTTCATATGCCATAATCAGCTATATCAGTGCTCGTAGAAAACTGGCAACCTGGAGCCTCCTGAGCCCTAGTTCTAAGAGCAGAACCTTGGGCATAAACATCTAGAGTCCGTGTGACCAAGTCTGAGGTAACCATAGAGCTTTACTTTAAATAAAAAGGCAAACTTTACGTAGAAAGAGTTGGTCTTAAGGCCAGTGTGGCCATCTGTGGAGTGAACCAGCAATCAATCTCTCTCTCTCTCTGCCTCTGCCTCTCTGTAACTCTGCCTTTCAAATAAATAAATAAATCTTTAAAAAAGGTAAAAAAAAATCATAGCACAAGATGTCTGCTTAAGGAAAAAAACAAAGAAAGAAAGAAAAGATATAGAGTTGGTCTTGGGGCCTCCACTGTTGCATAGTAGATTGGCCCTGCTCCAATCACACTAAAGCTGTTTAGGGAGTGAACCAGTGGATGGAAGACCTCTCTCTCCCTCTCTGTAACTCTGCCTCTCAAATAAATCTTTTTTTTTTTTTTTTTTTAAAAAGAAGAAGAAGAGTTGGTCTTACATTTATAATGACCTCACACGTGGCATCAGCCCAAGTAAAACAGAAAGCAGGTAGTAACTGTCTCCAAATAGAGGCAAGGATTTATTTCAAGTATATTCAAGGTGATTATAAACCAGCTAAGTATCTCCTGAAAAAGATAAATGAACCAACTAACCTTTAACGTTTTATTGTGACGCTGAAGTTCCCTGCAGAGAGATTCTAGCTTGCTTCTTGCCAAGATAGCCTTGCTGTGTTCACTTTGCAAGTGAACTTTCTCCTTCACAATCTGGGCTTGCTTCTTCTGCAGAATCTTCATTTGCTTCTGAACATTCCTGCTCTCTTCCAGCTAAAATTGACAAGCACTTTTCATTTAGGAAGTACAAGAAAAACCTCAGAGTTATGGCTGGAAGAATTACAATAAGAGCTACGGAGCACATTTTTAAAAAGCCAAAAACGATAGTCTAATAGTTCATTTAAATTATTTCATGCCATAGCACACCACCAACTCTCTCCTCTGTTTTCCAACGTGACAGGAAAATAAGCAAACTTAGGGTAATGGGGGAAAAATCTTGTTTTCTTGCCTCTTACATATTCTTTTAATAACAACTCTTTATTATTCAAGTTTTACAGAAGAAATTTATCACCCCAGAGACATTAACAAACCACCTAAGATTCCCTAACTGGTATACACTGAAGTATGGATTTGAACCTAGCAGCCTTAACCATTGGCATTCTTGACTTCCATCGTAAGTTGGAGTGCTCAGTTTTGCCACCTTGCCTGACTGCAGGCACTGATCTCGGCTCTTCCTGGTTTCAACTCAATGACTCACAGGTAGTGCGGGGTCCCCAGTTCCCAGCCACAGCTCTGTTTTGTTGAACAGAAGATACCCTTCACTGGATAACTCTTGCCCCAGAAGTTTCCTGAGGCCTACTGGCAATGCTGTCCACGTATTCTGTGTTTTATCCTTGGGAAAAACGAACTAACTAACTCCTGTCCCGGTTGAAACCTACTCCAATGTCGAAGACCAGGACCAACTAAGTTGTAAAGCCAGGAATGTCCTGAATTGCTGTTTGCTGGGTGAATATCCAGACATTTCCTTCCTATTAAAAAACATGCTGAAGGGGCCAGCGCCACGGCTCACTAGGCTAATCCTCCGCCTTGCGGCGCCGGCACACCAGGTTCTAGTCCTGGTCGGGGCGCCGGATTCTGTCCCGGTTGCCCCTCTTCCAGGCCAGCTCTCTGCTGTGGCCAGGGAGTGCAGTGGAGGATGGCCCAGGTGCTTGGGCCCTGCACCCCATGGGAGACCAGGATAAGTACCTGGCTCCTGCCATCGGATCAGCGCAGCGCACCAGCCGCAGCGGCCAATGGAGGGTGAACCAACGGCAAAGGAAGACCTTTCTCTCTGTCTCTCTCTCTCACTGTCCACTCTGTCAAAAAAAAAAAAAAAAAAAAAAAACATGCTGAAAGGCCAGCACTGTGGTGCAGCAGGTTAAAGCCCCAGCATTCCATATGTGTACCAGTTCAACTCTTGGCTGCTCTATTTCTGATCTAGCTCCCTGCAATATGCCTGGGAAAGCAGTAGAAGATGGCCCAAGTGCTATAGCCTATGCACCGACATGGGAGACCTGGAAGAAACTCCTAGCTCCTGGCTTTTGCCTGGCCCCTCCCTGTTCATTGCAGCCATCTGGGGAGTAAACCAGTAGCTGGAAGACCTCTCCCTCTCTGTCTCTACCTCTCTTTCTAACTCTGACCTTCAAATAAATAAAAATAAATCTTAAAAAAAAAAAAAGACATCAGGCCAAAGTGAGCAGCCATCTTTAAAAAAGAAAAAAAAAAAAAAAAGACATCAGGCCAAAGTGAGCAGCCATCTTTAAAAAAGAAAAAAAAAAAAAAAAAGACCTGCTGAAATCCAAATCTAAAATATGGGTTTACTGTGCTTTGTGCTTCTTTTCTTATTTAAAGAAATGCTGGCCGGCGCCGCGGCTCACTAGGCTAATCCTCTGCCTGTGGCGCTGGCACACCGGGTTCTAGTCCCGGTCGGGGCGCCGGATTCTGTCCCGGTTGCCCCTCTTCCAGGCCAGCTCTCTGCTGTGGCCCGGGAAGGCAGTGGAGGATGGCCCAGGTGCTTGGGCCCTGCACCCCATGGGAGACCAGGAGAAGCACCTGGCTCCTGCCATCAGATCAGCGGTGCGCCGGCCGCGGCGGCCATTGGAGGGTGAACCAATGGCAAAGGAAGACCTTTCTCTCTGTCTCTCTCTCTCTCAATGTCCACTCTGCCTGTCAAAATAAATAAATAAATAAAGGAATGAATGAATGAATGAATGAATGCTGATGCTTCAGGAATCAAAACCATCAGGTTTTATTTTTCTAAAATAACATCCACAGGTTATTGCACTGAAAGGGTTATCAGAATTCAGAACTCCATAAGCAGTGCTCAGAAGGTTCTTTGTGAGAAGAATGACTGCAATTTTACATTTGGAACAAATGAATCTATTTCAAGGTTAAATCAACACTAACAGATAAGAAGGCAGCCATGCTAACTTTTCAATAAAGCTTTGACAGATCAGAAATGATGCTGAGTCACAATTTCAAGAGCAAGAGTGACATCTTGTGGCCAATGAAAACATCAAGCATCCTTATAGGCAGTATGCTTAGATTTTAAAAATAACTACACTGCATTTCTGACAGGAAAACTCATTGTTTTTGCATAACCACAATGTTGTAATCTTACTATGAACTGTGCCAGCAGCACAGTTTAAAAGGCTGTAGGTTCTGCACATAACCAGCTGTGGCTTCACCTGAGTGTGTGGCTCCCCTGCCTTCCTTGACTCTGGGTACCACATCCTGAAGCCTGTGTTCATCACTCCTTTGCTTTCCTTGTTATGTTACTTTATTTCTTCTGTGTGTTTTTGTTTTTAATTGGTTTTACTTTTGGCTAGTGAAACTGAGGAATATTTTTTTCTTTAATTTACATTAATCTAAACTGAAACAGCCACATGTAGCTGATAGCTTTTGTCCTGGACAACCAATGCTCCATTATATTGCTAGGACTCACCCATATTGTTGGTACATAGATAAAGACTGGGGCTTAGCAAACTGCTTCTATAAAGAGCCAGCAAGTAAATACTTCAGGCATCATATACCACATTTGATCCTTGTCACATTTTTTTTTTTAGATTTTATTTATTTTATTTGAGAGAGTTACAGATAGTGAGAGGGAGAGAAAGAGAAAGGTCTGCTGTCCATTGGTTCACTCTCCAAATGGCCGCAACAGCCGGAGCTGTGCAGATCCGAAGCCAGGAGCCAGGCGCTTTTTCTGGGTCTCCCATGCAGGTGCAGGGGCCCAAGGACTTGGACCATCTTCTACTGCTTCCTCAGGCCATAGCAGAGAGCTGGACTGGAAGTGGAGCAGCCGGGTCTTGAACCAATGCCCATATGGGATGCCAGCATCGCAGGCAGAGGATTAACCTGCACCATGGCGCTGGCCCCCACATATTCTTATTTTTAAGAAACAGTTTTAAAATGTTAAACCCGTTTTTAGTTTATGGATAACACAAAACTAGACTTCAGCTGAACTTAACCTACATGCAATATTCCACTTTTTAAAAACATACCACATGCACAAAATCACACTTTATTGATCTCTTCTATGTCAGTGAGCGTTTGGGTTGTTTCCCAGTTTTATTACAGTGCTATGAACATTCGCACTTGTGTTTCTTGGTATATGCATGCAAAAGTTACCTAGAACTGGGGTTATACCAGGCAATTTCTGAATGTTCAATTTCAAATGACAACCCAAATTATTTTCCACAGTGACTGGCAAATTTATATTCCCAACACCACTAGAGCTACATCCTCTCCAAAACATAGTATGATCAGGTTTCTTAATTTATGTTACTACAGTGGATCTAAACTGTCATCTCATTGTGATCTTGACTGGCATTTCCCTAATCACTCGATTATAAAACATCTCTTTCTGTATTTATGGGCCTGTGTGTTAGGGTATCTCTTGTCTACTGTCCAACTTTTCACTGGATTATTTGTTCTTTTTGTATTCACTTGTTGGTATCCTTTAGATATTCTTGATACTTAGGGGCTGGTGTTGTGGCACAGCAGCTTAAGGTGCAGCTTGCGCCACCGACATCCCACATTGGAGTGCTAGTTCGAGTCCCAGCACCTCCACTTCTTACACAAGCTTCTTGTGAATGCACTTGGGGAAGGCAGCAGAAGATAGCCCAAATACCTGGTCCCTTGCCACCTTGTGGGAGATGAGGCTAGAGTTCCTGGCTCCTGGCTTTGGTCTGGTTCAGACCTTGCCATTACAGTCATTTGGGGAGGGAAGCAGTAGATGTAAGATCTCTTTCTCTCTGTCACTCTGTCATTCAAATAAATAAATATTTTAAAAAATAAAAGCTGGGGCTGGTGCTGTGGCACAGTAGGTTAAGCCTCCGCGTGCAGCGCTAGCATCCAATATGGGTGCTGGTTCGTGTCCTGGCTGCTCTTCCAATCCAGCTCTCTGCTATGGCTTGGGAAAGCAGTGGAGGATGGACCAAGTGCTTAGGCCTCTGCACCCGCACCCAGAAGAACCTCCTGGCTCCTGGTTTCAGACTGGCCCAGCTCAAGCCATTGTGGCCATTTGAGGAGCAAACCAGCGGATGGAAGACCTCTTTCTCTGCCTCTTCCTCTTTGTCTGTAACTCTGCCTCCAAAATAAATAAATCTTTTTAAAAAAATTTAATAAACTATTATTGATATTAACCCTAATGGTTATATCTTTTGGAAATACATTCTACCTAGTTTGTGGTGTCTTCTCACTTTCTTTGAAGGTATCTTTGATGAAGAGAAGTCTTAACTGCAATAAAGCCAATTTGTGCAATCTTTTCTCACGGTATTTTTAATATCATAAAAATACTTCCTTAACCCAAGGATATTTACCTATTAATATATCTAAATAATCTATAACTTTTAAAGTTTAATTTTTGACCGCTGAGCCCTTAATCCATTTGTAATTACTGACTGCATACAGTAAGAATCTAATTTCATTTTTTTCCCCATTAAGGATAACCATTTTTTAAAATTCCACTAACATCATCAGAATGACAATCCCTATCCCCCACTGCCAACAATCTATAGATTCTATAAAATGCTCTTTGAAATCCTAAATGCGGGGCCTGCACTTTGGCATAGCAAGTGAAGCCGCCACCGGCAGTTCGGGTATCCCATATGGGTGCCGGTTCAAGTCTGTTCAAGTCCCGGCTGCTCTATTTCTGATCCAGCTCTCTGCTATGGCCTGGGAAAGGAGTGGAAGATGGCCCATGTCCTTAGGCCCCTGCATCTGCCCAAGAGACCCAGAAGAAGCTCCTGGCTCCTGGCTTCAGATCGGTGGAGCTCCAGCCATTGCGGCCAGTTGGGGAGTGAACCAGCAGATCGAAGACTGACCTCTCTCTGCCGCTCCTTCCCTCTGTGTGTAACTGACTTTTAAGTAAAAATAAAGAAATCTTAAAAAAAAAATTCTAAACGGTGTCCCCCTCCTATCCCTCACTGGAACTAAGCCGAATCTAATATTTATAGAGTAAAGAGTTGTCAAGATACTTCTGACAAAATGGACAATATATCTACCCAACCAAATATTAAGATTTAGGATTACACTATAATAACCTACACAAACTGATTACAGAAGGAGAAAGAACAGCATTATAAAGTATTTAAGGATGTTAACAGTATCCACACCTAAAAGCAAAATGCTACAATTTGATGAACCTATATGATCTATTGAATGTGGTGACCACAAGGTCTCCCAATGGACAATCCTAAATACAACACACAGGACTCCACCGCATTTGTTCTACAGAATAGTTATATATATATATATACACACACACACACACACACATACACGAATACAACAAGCACAGTAATGTAAAATGATAAAGTCATAAAAGGGCAGAGGATAGTGATGGCAGAACAGAAGTCTTGGAATAAATCTTAGGAAAAAGCTGTTCCCGGAGCTGGTGCTGTGGCATAGCAGGTAAAGCCACCACCTGCAGCCCCAGCATCCCATATGGGTGCCGGTTCTAGTCCTGGCTGCTCCTCTTCCGATCCAGCTCTCTGCTGTGGCCTGGGAAAGCAATAAAGGATGGCCCAAGTCCTTGGGCCCCTGCACCCGCATGGGAGGCCCGGAGGAACTCCTGGCTCCTGGCTTCGGATCGGCACAGCTCTGGCCATTGCGGTCATCTGGGGAGTGAACCAGCAGAAGGAAGACCTCTCTCTCTGTCCACCTCACTCTGTAACTCTGTCTTTCAAATAAATAAAATAAATCTTAAAAAAATAAAGGTCTTTAAAAAAAAGAATTATTAAAAAAAGAAAAAGCTATTCCCTTTCATGGTCTCACTGCCATGTAACCTATACTCTACCTTTTAAACAGAGTGAGTGCTGTTTCAAGAAATAAAGCTTCAGAACACTTTCTAAAAATAGTAGCCGTTCCATTTTTCATATGTTCAGCACAAATCTATAGAGTTTACTCATAACCATATCCACACACACACACAAACATAATTAAAAGCCACAAATAGAAATACCCTATATATACCCTTGATACTTAAAAATGGGGTCCAAGGTCTGGCAGCAGCCTCATCATCTGAAGTTTTCTAAAATGCACAGTCTCAGGCCTTGACCCAGACCTAGTGCATTTTAATAAAAGTTGTGATGACTGCGTGTCTGAAAAGAACTGCCCCAGATGACTATTTTTTTGCTCTTTCTTCTAACCCACGCATACCTGTCTGTTGTTATATCACTGGGTCAGGTGCCTAACCTTCTACACAGTATTTTCTGATTCTTTTTTTAGTCTTTTGTCCTTTTCTTCCTTTTTTTCCACCAATTCTAGCCTGATTCTCCTCATATACAGCCAGTGGAAGTACTCATGCCCTGAAGCCAGCAATCCAACCACACTGTTTTCTGCCACCTTTGCATTTATGACTCTTGTAGGCCATTTTCACTGGATTGTCTATTGCTCCAAATACAAGGTGTTGAATGCCAGCTAAATGGGATATACATGGACCACTGTATCAACTAAGGGAAAAGTAAGTAACTGTCATTCTTCGAGTAACAAATAGAATTCATGCTTAAGAGCTGGCCACTGATAAAAAGTAAGGGGTTGTAATATGAATAACTGCTTTAATAACAGAAGAAAATACACTGAAGATACATCAAACTTCTAAAGGATGCTTCATCTAAGTATTTCACAAAAGGCAATCATTAGAACCATTTATTCTATAAATTTCCCACAATTTTTCCTTCAGATAATTCTATGATTTTCCCATTCAACTTAAATAGGATGAAAGGGCTTCCAGATTGAGACTGCTTTCATAATACCAAAAAGATAATTACCACTACTTGAATTAACACATATACAGAACAAACTCTTCAATGAGGTCAATTGCTTTGGAAGATAGGAAAAAGAATACATGGCACATAGTAAATGTAAAATAGCATTTTCTGAGATAGTACTATTTTAGTAGACTTTCTCTAACTCACAATTTCAATCAAAATGGTTACAGCTTTTATCTCTATTAGGAAAAGTTAAATACAGGAACCACTAAACACCCAACTGACTGGCATCGCTAAGGCATCACAACACAGCAATGAAAAGGCTGACTTAGAAATACTCTACAACTGATTTTTAGAAAACCTATGCCACATCTTAGCATTAAAAAGTTCTCTATAAATAATCTTGGAAAATAAAAGTATGCAACCAACAAAAAGCCCCCAAGACATCAGATTCATCCATTCAGTTTTGAAATAAAATATAATTTTACATTTAAAGCTGTATCAAATTTATACTTTAAAAAAGTTTATCAAGCACATATACATTCTGCTGTATTTTACATTGCCCTTGTACCCTTGACTTAATACTCACAAGATCAGCATATTTCTTACAGAGAGCTGCCAACTTCTCTTCTGGGGTTGAAAGGGTGTTTAGGGCTTGCATCAGTAATAAAACTTCTTTTCCTGATGATTAACAAGATAAGAAATAAGTCCCAGAAGATCAAATTTAACCTGTGACTTCGACTAACATTTTCCATGTTCTGACATCCAAAGTAAAATAATTTATACTTAATAACTAGAAATGAGATTTATCCAGTTCAATTAAGAAAGCTATTTTTGAATTCTGACTGAACAAGTCTCCCTCCTTTCCCCAGCTCCTCCCCTAATTTCTTCACCAACACTGCTAGCTATTTATAAGAACTCTTGTTGAAGGCTTAAAAATTCCCTTGCCTATCCACTGATGTCCAAGTTGAGACAAAGCGCAAGTTTCAAAGGGCAGAGAAAAATTTTAAAAGTTTCCTCCTGACCAAGTTCAACTAAAGAAGTTCAAAAGGAGTTTCAATTGGTATTACATTTTGCCTATCTAAGATGTACATAAGTACCAGTGACATATCTTTTCCTAAGAACAATTTAAATAACATGATTTTCTGATGACTTACTGAACATATTCCATGTATTACCCAAGGTTAATGCACATAAAGGAATGACAAGATAGTTCTTTCCTTGGAGAAAAGAGCTTCAACAGTATTTTAAGGACTTCAGCAGCACGGAGAAGCAGGTGGCTGAGATAGGAATAGACAAATAGTGTTTCAAGTTTCAAGTAAGTTGTTAACATTTTATTTATTAAGCTAGGTGGCAGGAATCATTTTTATTTTTTGAAATGTTCACTCTTATATGTAAGGTATTTCATTAAAATTCCTATCTTAAAATGACTTTAGTATCTGCTATACGGACTGCTATGGGGGGGGGAAGGTAGGCTGACTTCAAAAAATACTATTTCAGGCAAGTGTTTGGCACAGTTGTAAAGATGTCCCTTGGCAGCCATATCAGAGTGTGGGAGTTCAAGTCCTGGCTCCATTCCCAATTCCAGCTTTCTGCTAGTGTGCACTCTGGGAGGCAGCAGGTGATAACTCAAGTGGTTAAGTCCCTGCCATCCAATGTGGGAGACTTGGACTGAGTTCCTGGCTCCTGGCTCCTGACTTTGGCTTGGCCTGGCATAGCCTGGCTATTATGGGCACTTGGTGAGTGAACCAGCAAATGGGTGATCTCTCTCTCTGCCTTCCAAGTCAAAAAAAAAAAGTTTTAAAAACAGTACCTTTTTATCAACACAAAATCTTACTAAAAAAAAAAAACCTGCTGGCATTCAGCTCAAGGTTAATAAGAACTTTAAGAGATAATTTAACTTTATTAAATATGACCAGAAATAACTACAATTTACAACTTTATGACAATTTTAAAACTCAAATACAATGTTTTTAATTGATAGAATTTACTCACTATACAATTCATCCTTTTAAAGTATATATACAATTTAGTATATTCACATAGCTATGCAACCACCACTAATTCTAGAACATTTTTATCACCCCAAAATGAACTAAGATCTATAAATAGTCACTCCTCATTCTCCCATGTTCCCCAGCTCTTGCGACCACAAATCTACTTTCTGTCTAATTGGATTTGCCAATTCTGGACATATCTTTTTTTTTTCTTCCTTTCCATCGGTTCACCCCCAAATGGCCGCTGCGGCCGGCCTGCTGCGCTGATCCGAAGCCAGGACCCAGGTGCCTCCTCCTGGTCTCCCATGCAGGTGCAGGGCCCAAGCACTTGGGCCATCCTCCACTGCCTCACCAGGCCACAGCAGAGAGCTGGACTGGAAGAGGAGCGACTGGGACAGAATCCGGTACCCCAACCAGGACTAGAACCTGGGGTGCCGGCGCCGCAGGCGGAAGATTAGCCAAGTGAGCCGTGGCACCGGCCATGGACATTTCATAAAAATGGAATCATCCTAGCCGGCGCCGTGGCTCAATAGGCTAATCCTCCACCTTGCGGCGCCGGCACACCGGGTTCTAGTCCCAGTCGGGGCGCCGGATTCTGTCCCGGTTGCCCCTCTTCCAGGCCAGCTCTCTGCTATGGCCAGGGAGTGCAGTGGAGGATGGCCCAGGTGCTTGGGCCCTGCACCCCATGGGAGACCAGGAAAAGCACCTGGATCCTGGCTCCTGCCATCGGATCAGCGCGGTGCGCCGGCTGCAGCGGCGGCCATTAGAGGGTGAACCAACGGCAAAGGAAGACCTTTCTCTCTCTGTCTCTCTCTCTCACTGTCCACTCTGCCTATCAAAAAAAAAAAAAAAAAATGGAATCATCCAACACAGACCTTTTGTATTTAGCTTTTTCACTTTGCAAAATATTTTCAAGGTTCGTCCACATGGGATGAATCAGTGCTCCATTCATTTTTATGGCTCAGTAATATTCTATCAAATAGACAGGCAATTTACTTATCCATTCATCAGCTGGTAGATATTTGTGTTGTTTTCACTTTTTAGCTGTTACCAATAATGCTGCTAGGAACATTCAAACATTTGTGTATATGCTTCTGTGTGAAGTCTTTTTCTTTTTTTTTTTCCCTTTTAAGAATTTTTTTTATTACTATAAAGAGTGTGGATTCATTTTCAATCCTCTTGGGTATATTCCTAGAAACAGAATTTCTTGGTCACATGGTAACATTATGTGAAGAAATCTGGTTTATAAGGAATTAGAATTATTTTCTCATATTCATATATATTTTTACCTTTTCCAGGGTAGATGAAAATGAATTTAATAAGAAAGATAATTCCAACTTTCAGTCACATAGAAAACCACACAAATCAAACCTGTAAATCTTGGGTATAATAAACATAAGAAATAGGCAGTTTCGGATTAGTTTTAGTAAGGCTAAAATAAAAGGGAGTTTGGGGACCAGTGTTGTGGCACAGCAGGTATGCCACTGCCTGCAACACCAGCATCCCACATGGGTGCTGATACTAGTCTTGGCTGCTCCACTTTGGATCTAGCTGCCTACTAATAGACCTGGGAAAGCAGTAGAAGATGGCCCAAGTGCTTGGGCCCCTGCACATAGGAGACCTGAATGGAGTTCCAGGCTCCTGGCTTCAGCTTGGCTCAGTCCCAGCCACTGCAGCCATTTGAGGAGTGAACCATCAGATGAAAGATTCTCTCTCTATAATTCTGCCTTTCAAATAAATAAATAAATATTTTAAATAGCAAGGAGGGGGAATCAAACTTCTTTGATGACATTTAACATATCACATCCCTAGTCCTAAATCTCAAACTATCCTTGAAGGGCAGTCTTAACCTACTTTGTGAATTATAGATAACATTATATTGTTATATAACATTATGTTGTTATATAACATTATGTGCTTCATTTTTTAATAACTATCAAATTAATATATAGTTTTCAGTTATTTTTCAGACAGACTACATTAAAGATGCAATCAAGGCAGGTCAAACCCCACTTCTGTCAAACTGGACCCAAATCTTTTCAAAAAAACTAATTCCTGGTTATTTAGCAATGACTAGGCTTTCTACTCTGTTGTGCTTGCCTCCTGCACATAACCACAGCAGACAGCAGACCCACCTCACCAAAGATAACAGGTGTATTAGTAGGAACCTCCAAACTGGCTATGTTCATAATCATCTGTGCTGCACAAAACAGGAATAAAATGAGCAGTGCATGAAAATACCCAACTACCAAGAAAGAATATTACCTAAGGTTTTTTCTTTGTTCCTGTTGCACTCTGAATCTTGCTGACCATCAGGGGGATCTGTTCGAGCTTCTCGCCCAGGAATTTCCTCTCTTGACTCTTGCGTGCAGTAGGCTGGGCCCACCAAATTCCTGTTCTTTGTTATAAAGTCACTGCCTTCATCCTCTTCCAATGAATGCTTGTTACTTGTGCCACAATTTGAGTCTTGATGTTGAAGAATATCATTTGACTGAGAGTTACACAACATATCTGCTTTCACCCCTAGCCCACAAATTCCAGCTTCTTCCATTGTGCCAATTTCAAACTAGAGGGAGGGGAACAAAAAGATGGGAGAAGGGGTTAAATCAAATATAATCAATGTTTGCACCAATGGCACATCACAGCATGACAGCTTTTTTTCTTCCTCAGTAGTTTGCAAAATAACGTAAATGTGGCAGTTTCTCAGTATCACTGAGAGATGACCTAACTATAAATAAGAAAATTAAAGTTAAAACAAGTCATATAACTAAGTAATACCAAAGGAGGTAAGAAGTCCCAGTTAATCATGAATCTAAATTGACTTCCCTATGAAAGTTCACCACTTGAAATAATTAGCGCCTAAATCAGGCATTGGCACAGTGGTCAAGCCCTTATTTGAGATGCCCATATACCATATCACAGAACCTGGGTTTGAGTCCTGGCTCTGCTTGCAATACCAGCTTCCTGTTCATATACACCCTGGAAGGCACCAAGTGATGTCAAGTACTTGGGACCCTGCCACTCTCATGGGAGACCCATAATGAATTCTGGGCTCCTGACTTTAACCTAATCTAGCCCTAGCTGTTGTAGGCATTTGGGGAGTGAACCAATGGATGAGAGACCTGTGTGTGTTTGTGTGTGTGTGTGTATTATTTGAGAGGCACAGATATATATATGTATGTGTGTTGTGTGTGCATATATATATATAATCTGTATATATATATATATCTGTGCCTCTCAAAATTTTAAAAAATTTTCGTGATTCTATAATTTAAAATAATAATTGGGACCTAACAGAAGTTGAGTTGTCCCAAGGTAATGAGCATTAATTACTCCTGTCTTATCTTCCAGGATAGCTAGCTACCTACCTACCAAAAGGACAAGCACCCAGGTAGGCACTACATCTCCCATCCCCCTACATCTAGGTAGGACCGCTATGTGAAGTTCCCACAAAAGGGAACGTGAGCAGAGGCAATGACAGTCCCTTCTGCAGCAAGCTACTCTTAGAAGTATACATTCTTTCTCTACCATCTTATCCCCATGCTGAGTGAATGCACAAGTCTCCAAGGGGGCCCAGCACTGTGGCATAATGGGTAAAGCAGCTGCCTGTAGTGCTGGCATCTCATACGGGCACCGGTTTGAGTCCTGGCTGCTCAACTTCCAATCCAGCTCTCTGCTGTGGCCTGGGAGGGTGGAGGATGGCCCAAGTCCTTGGACCCCGGCACCCACGTAGGAGACCCAGAAGAAGCTCCTGGCTCCTTGCTTTGGGTCGGCACAGCTCTGGCCATTGAGGCCAATTGGGGAGTGAACCAGTGGATGGAAGACTTTCTCTGCTACTCCTCTCTCTGTGTAACTCTTTCAAATAAATAAATAAATCTCTTTAAAAAAAAAGTCTCCAAGACCCCAAGGGATGGGACAGCCACAAGATGCAACCAGTCGGGGCCCCTAAATCCATGTACATACAAGCAAATCCTCCTACCTACAAACAAACAAAAAATCCATACTGGACTACAAGGTGAAGAAGAAATCAACTCTTCTCATGTTAAGCCACAGAAATTTTGAGACTGGTATTTTGAGCATCTCTTATAAACCTAACTAATACAAATAGTACAGAGGCATTTCTTCTAAAATCTTATTCTGGAATCATAACTTTTACCTTACTCATATTGTTAACTCTATTTATATGAGGTTTTTCACCTGGGTAAAACTACTTGGTCATACGATGTGGCACAAATGTAAATTCTGTACATTTCTTCCCTATATGAAAGATGGCTTCTTCCTTTTCTGAAGAATATACCTGAGGGGAGAAAGTGTCTAATTATCTTCCTGTCATAAGTAGACAAAAGCTACTTTCAAAAAATAATGGGAAAGCAGATTAGATTTCCAGTTACAATAGTATCCAACTAAAGGACTAAACATAATTCGAAGTATAAAAGTAGAGCAGGATGGAAACAGAAGGGAGAGGCAAAGGAAACTAAAATCTTATATTTTGTAGTCTAATATAGAGAAATCAGTAATTGTGCTTTTGGAAGAACAAATTGGCTATGTTGAAAAACTCTTTGGCAATATAGATACCTTCCAACCCAATTAACTCTACATGTAGAATTTTTTTAAATTTATTTTGAAAGAGTTACAAAGACAGAGAAGGAAAGGGAGAGAGAAAGAGAGGTCTTCCATCTTGCCGGATCACTCCCCAATTGGCCACAATGGCAGGAGCTGCACCAATTTGAAGCCGGGAGCCAGGAGCTTCCTCCAGGTCTCCCACACGGGTGCAGGGGCCCAAGCACTTGAGCTATCTTCTACTGCTTTCCCAGGCCATAGCAGAGAGCTGGATCTGAAGAGGAGCAGCCGGGACATGAACCAGCACCCACATGGGATGCTGGCACTGCAGGCAGCATCTTTACTTGCTACACCACAGCATCGGCCCCATCTACTTGCAGAATTTTACCCAAGTATGTACATATGTGTACCCAAAGTACAAGAATGTTTACAGCAGCACTATTTGTAACAGCCCCAAATGGAATTAACCCAAATTTCTATCAACACAGCAGTGGATAAACTATGATATGTTCACACTATCCAGCCATGTAGGAACACAGATGAGTCTCAAAGACTTGATTTGAGAAAGCTGCCACAAGAGAACCTACTTCGGGAAAGCATTTACAAACAAAGTTCAAAAATAGGCCAAGTGAATGGACGGTACTAGAAATGAGGACAGTGGTTACCACAAGGGTAGGGCCTTTTGGGGGTACTTGTAATATACTATTTCTCAATCAAGATAACACAGGTGTTCGTTTTGTCAAAATTCACTAAGTCTAAACATTTATGACTTGTATACTGTTCTAGACATGTTTATTTTAAAAGTTGAAATTTTACAGTATTTTAAGAGTTATAAAGAGGGGCCAGCGCTGTGGCACAGTGGTTAAAGCCGCTGCCTGCAGTACCAGCATCCCACATGAGTGCTGGTTCCCAGCTGCTCCTCTTCCAATCCAGCTCTCTGCTATGGCCTGAGAAAGTAGCAACAGATGGCCCAAGTTCTTGGGCCCCTGCACCCACATGGGAGACCTGGAAGAAGCTCCAGGCTCCTGGCTTTGGATTGGCCTAGCTCCAGCTATTGCAGCCATTTGGGAAATGAACCAGCAGATGAAAGATCTCTCTCTGCCTCTGCCTCTCTGTAACTCTGCCTTTCAAATAAATAAATAAATCTTTTTAAAAAGTTATAAAGAAAAAACAAGTATTTCCATCAAAAGAGAAAGAATATGTTACTTTTCATACTTTTAAAATACATGTAAAATGTTGATTTGTTGAAAAAAAATTAATCTATTAAAAGAAAATGGATCAACTATTCCCAAGTTTTGACTTGATTCCACATTCTAAACTTAATTCAGACAGAAAAAACTTACAAAGTATACTGACTCCTAAAATTCTTTGAAAGAAAAAAAATGCTAGGGGCTGCCATCGTGGTACAGCAGGCAGAGCCACTGCCTGCAATGCCGGCATCTCATATGGGCACCAGTCTCAGCTGCTCCACTTCTACTCTGGCTCCCTGCTAATGTACCTGGGAAGGCAGCAGAAGATTGCCCAAATGTTTAGGCCCCTGCCTCCCACATGGAGACCCAGAAGAAGCTCTTGCCCTGGCCTTGGCCTGGCCCAGTCCTGGCTATTGTGGCTATTTGTGGAATGAACCAGCAGATGGAAGATCTCTCTGTCTCTGTCCCTCCCCCTCTCTCTGTATTTCTGCCCTTCAAACAAATAAATAAATCTTTAAAAAAAAAAAAAGGTCAAAATTCACTTCCAGGGGCTGCTGTTGTGGTGCAGCTGGCCCAGATATTCTTCAAGCCCTGGCTCTGCTCCCAATTCTTACTTCCTACTAATGCATACTCTGGGAGACAGCAGGCAATGACCCAAGTAGCTGGGTCCCTGGCTCACTGCTGACTGTTTCCGGCACTTGGAGAGGGAACTAGCAGATGGTCTCTGTTGCTCTGCCTTTCAAAGAAACACAAATAAGCACATAACAATAAAATACAGGAGACAGTTATGTAATTACTGGTCTCTAAGAATAGACTGAAAAAAGAAAAATACCCTATAGTATGTACTACACGCCATGATTTGGGGTTGTCTGGTGGTAGGATTGTACAACTTTATGAGCAGAGAAGCACATACAATCTTTGGTAAGGTACAGAGAATATAGTGGAGGGAAACTGGGTGGGTAGGGAATAGGAGGGGAAGAGAGACTTCCACAGCAAGCTTGTCATTAGGTACCATGAGTTACTATGACAAGAACTTTCTCAAACACCTGGGTGAATATAGTTCTCTAATATCTGAACAAATTTGTGAAACAAAAACTATCACATTTTTATCTTGTTTATCAAGTCTATACTTGTGAGCAGTATGTGTACCTCCTGTAGCCTAAAAGTCACTACAGTGGGAAGGCATTTTGCATAATGGTTAAAAGATGTCACTTGGGGAGACCAGCGCCGTGGCTCACTTGGTTAATCCTCCGCCTGCGGTGCCGGCATTCCATATGGGTGCCGGGTTCTAGTCCCGGTTGCTCCTCTTCCAGTCCAGCTCTCTGCTGTGGCCCGGGAAGGCAGTGGAGGATGGCCCAAGTGCTTGGGCCCTGCATCCACTTGGGAGACCAGGAAGAAGCACCTGGCTCCTGGCTTCAGATTGGCACAGTGCCGGCAGTAGCAGCCTTTTGGGGGGGTGAACCAATGGAAGGAAGACCTTTCTCTTTGTCTTTCTATAACTCTACCTGTCAAAAAAATAAATAAATAATTTAAAAAAATAAAAAAGATGTCACTTCGGACCCCTGCATCCCAGATCTGGAGTCCTTTGGTTTGGATCCCAGCTTTACTCCCTATTCCAGCTTCCTGCTAATGTATACTCTGGAAGGCAGCAGGTGATGGCTCAAGTAGTTGGGACCCTGCTACCCACATAGGAAATGCAGATGGAGTTCCTGGCTCCAGCTGTTGTGTGAATTTGAAATGTGAATGAGTGGATGGGAGATCTCTGTCTTTTCACCTTTCAAATAAATTAAATACAAATAAAAAAAAAACAAACACT